GTTCTTCCCTTTTCTTTAGTTTGTTTGTATTTTTGTTAACAAACATAACAATAAAAAAATGTTCATTGTGGTAAACGAAATAATAATTTGATCTAAGTAAGTTTTTTCTTCCTCACTTGTAACAAATCCTTACGCGATAGAAAAAAAAATATTATTTTCCAAATCTAAGTAGCTGAATTATGGAAAATTCGTTATTAAAACCCAAACAACTTTTATGAAGTTTAAATTAGAAGGCCTGTGTTATTGAGGCTCAATTTTTCTTGGCTTAATTATATTAAATAAAACAATTGAAGACATTCAGAAACTTATCAGGGTACTTTATCTGTAATTGTGAAACTTGTCAAAAATATGTTATTTTATTAAACAATTTAATATCACTCAAATGGGAGTTGGTCGGTGTGTCATTTAAACTATACTTAATAAATCATTTCAATAATGTGTTGTTTTCACATATAACATATAAATTGGTTTTTCCTTTTTTTTTTAAGTTAACACTGGGGGACTTCCTGCAGAATTTCTGAATGTTACTTAAATAATTCGAGAACCTAAATGAACAGTTACTGGAAAGATAGATTATTATTACTAGAATTAACTTTGAACGTAACATTGTTGTGGTTAGTGCAAACGTTAAATCTTTGTCTCAGCAACTTAACATTGTTGTGGTTAGTACTAACGTTAAATCTTTGCCTCACCTACATAAAACTGTTATGGTTAGTACTAATGTTGGATCTATGTAGATTTGTGGTTGTTGATAAAACTGTTATGGTTAGTACTAATGTTGGATCTATGCAGATTTGTGGTTGTTGATAAAACTGTTATAGTTAGTACTAATGTTGGGTGTCTGTAAGTTAGTGTTTGTTGATAAAACTGTTATGGTTAGTACTAATGTTGGATCTATGTAACTTTGTGGTTGTTGATAAAACTGTTATAGTTAGTACTAATGTTGGGTGTCTGTAAGTTAGTGGTTGTTGATAAAACTTTAATGGTTAATACTAATGTTGGATCTATGTAACTTTGTGGTTGTTGATAAAACTTTAATGGTTAGTACTAATGTTGGATCTATGTAACTTTGTGGTTGTTGATAAAACTTTAATGGTTAGTACTAATGTTGGATCTATGTACGTTTGTGGTTGTTGATAAAACTTTAATGGTTAGTACTAATGTTGGATCTATGTACGTTTGTGGTTGTTGATAAAACTGTTATGGTTAGTACTAATGTTGGATCTATGTAAGTTTCTTGATTTATTTTTAGAATTTCGAACAAAGCTCTATTAAGGCTATCTGCGCAAATCCGTCACTAACTTGGAACTGATAGACTAAAAGGCAGGTTAGATATATATAACAGCACCTACCACCAACTCATGAGCTGCCTTTTTGACCGAGTCGCGCACCTACAGCCCCAAACTGCAGAACGCATTTTTGCGACAACAGGCCACGGACCACGAATTTTCGTATTCGCGGCCAGCAACTCTAATCACTAGATCGCGCCTAGACGTGGGTGATCGACTAGGATTTTAATATACTGGTTGCTCAGTCTGTCGATTTTTCACAATAGGGGGCTCTAGCATCACTAACACATAAAAAACAAAAAACAGAGGTATTTTCTAACTCGTTTGTGAAATATATATATATATATATATATAGCTTCAAACTAGAAATCTCAACGCCCCAAAAAAAAAACAACAACAACAAAAGGCATCTTCAAATCGCCAGTAAAAATAAGTTCATAAATACACACTGCCTTTTTATTTCAATAACACATTGTTATAAACAATCTTCATATTGTTCATATTTCATTAACACATTGTTATAAACAATCTTCATATTGTTCATATTTCATTAACACATTGTTATAAACATTTTCATATTGTTCATATTTCATTACCACATTGTTATAAACATTTTCATATTGTTCATATTTCATTACCACATTGTTATA